GCATGTGTGTGTGTGTGTGTGTGTGTGCGGTGGGGGTCACACTAGGGGAAAGAACCTGCCAGAGTGTCCACCTGATTCAGGCCATGAGCCAGCCCATGGCCAACTGTCTCAGCTCCCTTCAGCAGTGTTTCTCTGGGGAGGCATGCAGGAGTCGTCGTCCTAGCGACAGGACTGTCAGGCTGATGGCCAGAGGGCGCTGCTCCTGGGGACCCGTCTGTGCTCTCTGAACCCAGCTTGGCATTCATTCTCTAATCTATTCACCATGTTCCTGTCACTTCATCCTTGATTCTGTCTCTGCCATTTCCAAGTTGCCCGCCTCCTTCCAACGATCCGAGAAATTGTCAGGCCAAGGTCACAGAGCGGTACCAGGGCTGGCTGCCAGCCCAGACCCACTTCCCACACCCGGGACAGCACCTCTATGCTGCACTGTTCCGTGCCTCCTCTACAGATCCACTGCAGAGAAGGGCACGGTGGGATGGGAAGGGGCTGGCTGGCGGTGGGGGATGGGACTCCCTGGGCCCTGGCAGCTGGGGTGCCATGTGGGCTGGGAGGGAGGGGCCTCTCCCCCAGGGAGCAGGCTGGCTTTGGTGGGAGCAGACTGTGTTTACACCTTCCCCGCACACCCTGCCCACGCTCGCTTGTTCCCAGGGCCTCTCCCACCTGGGCGCTCTGTACAGTCTGCACATCCGTGGCTCCTGTGCATTAAGTCCTTCCCTCAGCTTGGAGCTCCTCTAGGGAAGGCTGTCACCGCCCAGCTGCCCTCCCTCATCCCAGATCTCCTCCACAGGAGGTGCCCACTTTACACGTGCCCTCCTTGAACCCACTAACTCCCATCACACAGGTCAAGGGAGGGTCTTTAAAGTATGAGGGGGTGTCAGTTAACTCCTGGCCATGACAATGTCCTCACAGAGGCCGAGTCTTTTCCTTCCCCATTTCCTTAGAAATAGCTGCTGTTTGGAAATAGGAGCAGCGATGTTTATGTGCTTGGTGGACAGAAAGCTAAGAACAACTAGAGAGACAGGGCTGAGACCAAGAGATGCCTGGCTGTTGTGTGGGGTGCTGGCCTGGCTGCTGATGTGAGGTGCTGGCTGTTGTGTGGGGTGCTGGCCTGGCTGCTGTGTGGGGTGCTGGCCTGGCTGCTGTGTGGGGTGCTGGCTGCTGTGTGGGGGTGCTGGCCTGGCTGCTGTGTGGGGTGCTGGCCTGGCTGCTGTGTGGGGTGCTGGCTGCTGTGTGGGGTGCTGGCCTGGCTGCTGTGTGGGGTGCTGGCCGGGCTCTGATGTGGGGTGCTGGCTGCTGTGTGGGGTGCTGGCTGCTGTGTGAGGTGCTGGCCTGGCTTCTGATGTGGGGTGCTGGCTGCTGTGTGGGGTGCTGGCTGCTGTGTGAGGTGCTGGCCTGGCTGCTGATGGGGGGGGCGGGCCTGGCTGGGGGGGGGGGGGGGGGGGGGGGGGGGGGGGGGGGGGGGGGGGTGGGGGGGGGGGGGG